GTCCACTGTTTTACAGCTGTGTCGGCTCATTAGTAACCAGGAAAGCCATGTGTGAAATGCCTTTCTGGGCTAGCTGAGTCACACATGAGGAAGCTTCTTGGGAATTCCACCAGTACATTCCCATGAAGCAGTTTTACTGGTTCTTTCGTATGTTTGTTCCCTACCAGTCACGTCCAGAAACTAAGCTAGTGACAATGAACATCTATATATAGAGCCGACGTCCGTTTTTGGTTAGTGCAAACCAGACACACTAATCTCAGGGTTCCTGTTCAAGTTCCCAACAGAAGAATGTCCCATTCCTTTCATTCAGTCCCTTCTAATTGTTGACTTTTTTCCTACTCCAGGTCTCAACTTGTGCTTAGGTGACATGAAATAATCATTACACTGACTCTCATTCAATCTTTACCCCCCTATGTGACAAATGACAGGTGGAGATGCTGAGGCTTGGGGGTTAACTTACTTGCTTGACTAGTTAGAGACATAACAGAGACTATAAATCCATATCTCTTTAGGCGTATGCCATGCCACTGTTACATCTCATTGCTATGAATCCATGCCACAGATTAATAGCAAGACCCAGCATTTGCTGAGTAACTACTCTGTTTCCCTGAAAATAAAAGAGTGTCTTATATTAATTTTTGCTCCCAAGGATGTGCTAGATCTTATTTTCAGGGGAGTCTTATTTTTCCATGAAGAAGAATACAGTACACATTTATTGTTAAATGAAAATAAAGGAAATTTATTACCAGTATACGGTACGGTTGTACGGTAGTTGTCAACACAAACCAGACAAACTGTGAATCCTACAGTATCAAGAATTTACTCATTTATTCAATGACAATCATGTCATCATCTTCTGGAACATCATCATAACAATCCAATTCCTGAATTTCCTTGTGAATTTCTTGTGACTCCATTTCTTTCAGAATCAGTGGACTAAATCTCTCATGTTTAGCCCAGGGGGGTGCTTATTTTCGGGGGATGCCTTATATTTCACTCAGAAGGAAACCTGTAAGTAGGTCTTATTTTCGGAGGATGTCTTATTTTCAGAGAAACACGGTAGCTGCAGTTAGGATTCTGCTGGGCACAACTTAAAACAATGTCTTAGGAGTAGAACTCACAACTAATTAAGTTTCCATAAATACTTCCTTTATGGAATTTATGTTTTCTAAAATGGAAAAGTTCCTATTTGACTGTGAAATTTGCCATTTTACTCAAGTTTTCAAGGAAAAGGCCAGATCACCATCCCTTAAACCAGACTGGGTAGGCTTTATGTGTAAATCTATGTAGAGGTTCATGATTCTTGTTCATAAAAGCCCATCCTTACCCTAGAGGCCTCTATGTCCTCGAGCCTTCCCCTTAGCTCCTTCTGGAGAAAAACTCCCACTTCTACATGTCATCCAGGAAAGAGGCAACAGAGGTCCGAGTTCGAGTGGCCGGAGGGGATGGCAGGTTACAGGGATCAGCTCAGGGAGGTCCATGGGAGAGTGAGCTGAAAGCGCCATCTCTATGATAAATCTAGCATCTAAGCATTGTTTTGCTGTTAAAATGGTAAGAAACTCTTATGCTATTCATAATTCTGGATTAAACTAAAACTCAATTCATAAAAGTGTTTTTGTTGTTTGTTTTTAAATTAGCACCAGGTGCAATAATCCAATCTAGCAGAAAAAAGAAACCATCACAAGGTTTCAGACCTGCTTTCTGCCAGCCTTCAGAGTTAACGATGACCTGCACATGATTAAACAAGGGGCAGGGGCACCTTGTCAGCAGAAAGAAACTGAAAGGCAATGACTGTCAACAGCCATGGAGAAAACGGCCTTGAAAATGGTCTGCTTTGTTGCTCACAACGGGGTCTCTGGGAGCAACAAACAGGGGCTGAAGATCTACAAAATTTTAAGGCCAGATGACAGGCTCCAAGGCTCTACACATTACAACTCATCCGAGTCAGCACAGCACAGCACAGGGACATGGCAAGCAAAGGCCACACCTTCCCAAGTTATGAAAACTGTTCTGTTTCGGGGGGAAACTGAAATTGATGGCCAATGCAGAAAAGCGAAGGACACCTGTGCATTCATTTTTAGTTGCTCATTACCATCTCATAGTCACAGTGACTGCCCACATTGATTTAAAAATTAAGGGATTGCATAGTTACAATTATTAATAGACAAAAGCAGTTCTTATTAATTGAAGAACACAGAGAGTGACTTCCAAGTGACTTCTACGGAGCAATGGTTTGCCATTAATGGTAATGGGTTTAGGAGAGGTGGTGCACAGTGTTCTCCTGTGCTATAATGGTTCTGTTTCTGTTCCTCCTGAGAGCCACAACTGCCTTCAGACCTGCTGGTCACCAACTAAGCTGAGAATTTTAGAAACACAGACTATTAGAAACTTGACTTCTGAAATGATAGGATGGGCAGGAATGAACTGGTTACTATTGCTTGTACTCTCCTCATTGCTAGGAAACCCAATGATACCATTTTTTAATCTTTTTAGGAAGACAGGGAAAGAGGTATAAAACAAAGAAGCTAATGGATGGAACAATTTGAGAAGCATGTTCCTGTCTGTTTCTCTGTATCTGTTCAAAAGTATAGAAGGATAGCATGACATTAGCTTTTTCAGCTATCCAAATAAAGACACTATCTTTTCAATGTCATAGATCTCCAATACAACAGTGAACAGTATTCACATGCCATGTATATGAACTGAGAGCTATGCTCCATAAATGCTGAAATGATCAATAAACAGACCAACAGCAGTTAAAAGGATCCCAAAATATTCTCTTGTCAGAAGGTACAATCCTACTAACCAGATGTGAGAAAGACTAAATAATATAAGTGTACATAAACTGCCCAGCTGGTATGGTTCAGTGATTGAGCATCAACCTATGAACCAAGAAGTCACGATTCAATTCCCAGTTAGGGCATGTTCCCAGGTTGCAGGCTTGGTTCCCAGAGTGAGGCATGCAGGAGACAACTGATCAATGATTCTCTCTCATCATTGATGTTTTTATCTTTCTCTCCCTCTCCCTTTCTCTCTGAAATCAATAAAAAAATTTTTTTTTAAAGTATACATAAATGGAAGGGCTAACTGAGGACCACAGAAGTTAAGTGACCTGTTTGAAAGCTTGGAATGAAATCCACCATCTCCTCATTATGGTGTTTTTTCAGTTATCCCGTTATCAAGGGAGACTTTACAGAGTTTTTCTAGAAGGTGAATATTATTCCATAGAAAAAAGGGTTTCTGTGTTGTCAAAAGGACTATGGTAGGTGAGGATCAGTGAACCTGAATCTCCAATAAAATTCATCTGCAGGAATTATAAGGTGGGAGAGAAAAAAGGAAAGGGAAAGGCAGAAGAATGAAGGTGGAAATAAGGAAAAGATGGAAGGAGAGCAAGTTGGGTTAAGACAGAAGGCCAAAAATAAACCATTTAATATTTCATGGTCACTAGTCCATAGGAGGTCCTATTGATTACAGATGTCATCAGAAATAGTTTCTCCACTTCATCTGAGGCTGCGGCACATCTCCTCCCAGCATCAGGCCAGGGCACTACCCAACCCAGATTCAAAAGGGAGGAAGCCAATCATTACCATTTCAAGCACTCAACTCCTCTGACACTACTTATGAGTCAGAGAAGAGCAAAACACACTGCCCTGAGAAGATTCCTGAAATGAACAAAAGCTTCCTCTTTACTGGTAAACTCTATCTTAGCATAAAACCTTAAATTATGAGGAAAAAAAAACCCATCAGGTCTGTGCAGCAAAGCAACACACTTAGAACAGACTTGCATTCCACCTCCACTCACCCTTAGGGAGGAAGAGTGGGGGAAGATAGTTCCTTTTCTGACTGCCTATAAAAATCTCCTTCCACAAGGGCCACAGGGGTGGTTTCACATTCCAATCAAACCACCTTAACACAAAATCCACCTGATCTGTAAAATGTAACAGTTACGCCTGGGATTTCACCAATCTGTGCACAGGAACTATTCACGAGGATCCTCAGAACAAAAGACCATTGTCTTTGGTAACTTGCAACTCTAGCTGTTCAGATGCAACCCATGGGAATGCTTCTCCAGGGAATGATGAAGGACGCCCCCTTTCACATCAAAATTTCATCATGAGAACTTCATCTGATTTTCATTTTATATTTGGTTAAAATATTTTTTCCCTACCTGACAAGTTACTTTTTGCATAAGCCTAAGCCCGTGTTCTAAACTTTAAAGGCCCCTGAATTTAAGTTGCAAAGACGAGGCAACTTGATTTCTAGTCTGGAAATCCTAGTCTGTTTGCTCAGTCACAGAAAAACAGACTAAAGCAAGGGTAAATGAATGAATAGAATTAATGTCTCCGGGTACAAAAAGCACAGCTGCTTTTCAGAGAGGAGAGTCCTCTACATTGTTTCCTGCCTGAGATCCTGTTAGTAGCTCAGCAAGACCAGAAATGAATTTGGGTCTCCATTCAGCACAGAGTGGCCTCAAGATGAGGAGATTCCACCACGAATACCATTTCAAGGGCCTCTGGCAACAGAAACAGCAAAGGGGTGCACCTGTTGTAGGATGATCTACCCGACAGGGTAACACACGTGGGCAGAGTGAGACCTCCAGGTGCTCTCCACTCTCCCACAGAAAGTATTCAGCTATACAATGTGCACACAGGACATTCAGATACAGTCAAGATGACAGAACAATCAATTTTTCATACTAATTAATGAATGGCTAGACACTGGGAACCCCAAAATAATGAAGATCCCGTCTTTTCTTTCAGTAGCATTTTTTTTTTTTTTTGCAAATAAGCCAAGTAAATATGTTTTAACACACAATTCTTTATGCTACTTCCATCCATCTTCATTTTTCAGTCAATAACTATTGGCTTAAATTTTCACTGTTTACATTCTTTTTTTGTGTGTTTAGCAAATCTTACAAAAGAATAAAGAAATAAAATGGTAGTTGCTCAGAAATTTTATTTTTGAAATAGCATTTTAGATGAATGTAAAAACAAGCTTACCTCATCCCATTCCAAAAGGTAGTTGGTGATTTTTGAACCATTGTCGATTGGTGCCTAAAAAATAACAATATAAGAGGTTGGAGAAAGTTGTTCACAGATATAACGTTCAAATACAATGTCGATGCTAGTGTTATCCTATAACCCTGGAAAGCTCCTGCATCTCTTTGGTCACTCATTATCACAAACCAATTTTAATACAAGTCAACTGTACAGAAAGTCCCCCCACTATTAAGAAATAATTTCCACAAATAGCCAAAACTACCTCTCTACCATCTCTACCTTTACACCCACATGGTGCCATATTTCCTCTGGGGATACAACTTTTTAAAAAAATATATACTTTTATTGATTTCAGAGAGGAAGAGAGAGAGAGGAGAGAGGGAAGAAAGGGAGGGAGGGAGGGAGGGAGGGAGAGAAACATCAATGATGAGAGAGAATGATTGACCGGCTGCTTCCTACATGCCCCCTCCTGGGGATTGAGCCCACAACCCAGGCTGTTGCCCTTGGCCAAAATCGAACGTAGGACCCTTCAGTCCGCATACCGATGCTCTATCCATTGAACCAAACTGGCTAGGGCTAGGGAATACAATTTTTAAGAGGCAACTTTAAGTTCAAGAGTAGAGGAGAAATAAGGCAGCTAAGAAACAAAGGCCCTGCTTAGGGTCTGGGAGGATAGAGCTGACCCAGTTGGGCTCAGAGTTGGAATCTATATTTTAAGTGCTTAAGATCAGAATGCCTTCTATAGTATTAAAGTTTGCTCCCCTTTTAAACAGAAATGAGGAAAAATGGGATCCTCTGACTAGATTACCAGAGACTGTTAGACCTTACAAGTTAGCAAAAAGAAATCTGATCATTTGCTTTTTTCTTAAAAAAAGGTCTGCTTCACTGAGAAAACAGGCCTTGGACAATGGGCAGAGGAGCAGAGAACTTCGGAGAAAAGTGTTTTGCAGAATTAGACCTGCCAGAGGGCAGTGCAGCACTGGGGTTCTTCACGGCACCAGGGTAGTAGAGTGGGGAGAGAGATAGAGATAAAGGGAGAGAGCGAGATAGATATGGAGGGAGGGATATATATATATATATATATATATATGGAGGAGGGAGGGAGAGATGAGAGATGAGAGATGAGAGATGAGAGATGAGAGATGAGAGATGAGAGATGAGAGATGAGAGAGAGAGAGAGAGAGAGAGAGAGAGAGAGAGAGAGAGAGAGAGAGGAGGTACCTGGGCCTGGCTCCTCCCCAGGAAAGAACAGGAGCTCCCACAATGCAGTGTCCTGCCTCTAGCAGAAGGCAGCTTGGTCACCAGAGCTGATCTGAAGCCCAGCTCGGCTGTTTGTCACGTGTGATCTGATGTTAGCTGCTTAATATCAATGTTTAATTTCTTGTTCCAAGAGTGAATGTGTATGATAAGTAACTGGGAGAATATATGTAAATCAACTACTAAACTACCTGGTCTCATAGGAAGCACTCAGTAAACAGCAGCTGTTGCTTTATTATTGTTAATAAAACATCATCTGGGACTCAGTAAATATTAGGTAAACTTATACAGAAACTCTTCTCCTTCTTTCCTTCCTTCCTCCTGCTGAGCCTTATAATCTCTGAGTCCCCAGACCCAGATTTCAGGTGAGTGCTGTATGTTCTACTGCACTGCAATTTTAGGCTTTTGTGGACAGGGTTAATGCTCTGAATTAATGGATAGGGGTCAAGTTTTGGAGAACTGCATTTATAACGGCTCAAAAGCCTGTAGAGAAATTGTTTCTTAGTAGTTTCTTCTCTGCTCCACCAGAGCCACTGAATCCTTGAAGGTGGGAACACCAACTTTGGTTTGGTTCCACCCTGTCTGCCATGGCTGAGCCCTCTCAGTATCTGTGGATTTGAGGATAGGTGGGCAGCCGGAGCATGGTCCCCTGTCCTTATTCCCGTAGCCAAAGACTGAGATCAGGAAATCTATTTTAAGAACATTAGAATAAAAACTGAACTAAATTCAGAACTTTCAAGTTTGCACATGGCTGAAAGGAACAGGAGGCGGTTTCTGATTCACAATCAAAGGGAGAAAAAACATTTGCAATACTTTCCTCAAGAGGAAACTTTTCTCTTAAGCTGCTAGCTAGTCTGCCTGAAACCTGGACTGCAGCTAGGTTTTTCAGCAGAGCACATATCAGTGATCCCCAACTTTAGGTGAGACCCCGGGTCCCTCTGATAGTCTTAGGAAGGATTCTGATATTTTCCAAGAAAATGAATTTTAATTCTTTACTTAAAGATATATTTACATATGCATATGTGTAAATATAGAACACATTTAAAAATGGATGTGTATACTCCAAGAAGTTAAATAACAATGACCGATTGGGTGTTCAAACTCTGAAAAGGTGGGGAATCACTGACCTGGATTATCCCTGGAAGCCAGAAAGGAAAATAAAATAGTTCAGATTCTGAGCCAGTTTAAACTTTGCCCTTGTCCACATAACACACTCGGTGTGGGCCCCTGGCAGTGAGAATGCAGCTGCCCACCGGAGAGGGGTCTAGAGGAGGCCAGGTTCTGTGCTGACCACTGTTCTCAACTGCTTTTTCCCGCCTCCTAGATAAACCTGACCCTCTGGTATAGGAACAAGAAGACAAAACATTTCTTTACCAATAACGACTATCACTAACCATCTCATTCCTTGCACATGTTAATGTTCTCCCCAAATACCACACATTCGTATTCTCTCTCCTTTGATAAATTTTACATTTAAACTGTATTTTAAAATATTCATTTATAGAAATAATTGCTATAGAGATTAATAACAACCTATTATCTGCTTGCAAACACAAAAGTATGACTGACTAATAAGCTCATTAAATTCGTGAAGGGCCTCTCTTTGGCAAGAATCATTTGTAGCTAGTAAATGGTATTTCATGAGAACCATTATATGATTTGGACTTTTAAAAATAATTAGCAATCCTGACTGATAAGATCTAATAAGTAAAAATTAGTAAAATCTTGATGTCATTTAGAATTCAAATCATCCTAGGCAGTTTTAAGTATTAAACATTTCAGAATCGCCACTAAAAGAAGTCAACAGCGCTGTGAACTTACGTTATCTATAAATCTTCACAAAAACTTTTTACTGAAATCCTCAAATATTTGTTGAGGTGAATTAGAAAGTGATGAAAACCATTCAAAAGTGATGAATTTTAGTTATTTTCAGTATTTATATCACTTATAGTGTATCGCTTACAATCCTAAGAAATTTTCCAGATTCCCTTGAAAACAGAGCTAAGGCTTGGTTTTGCAGTCCTCTCTCTCACCTCCTTTCAGAGTTGGCAACTTCTGATAGCATAGTAATTTATTTCAGATAGTTACTATGGAGAAAACCAAACACCATCACCAAACTGGAACAGTGCTACATAAATGTCTCAAATGGCTACAGACCTCAGCCTGTTCCCGACACTGAGCTACCCACCTTCCACTGCAAGGTCAGTGAGCTTTTGCTCCTGTGCGCCAGCTTCGGTGGCAAGGGGCACTCGGGTGCACAGCTGTGGGTGGTAAAGCTCACTGGCTCAGAGCAGGATCCCTTCACGGAATTGTACATGGCATATACCCTGGAAACAAAGCAGACAAGTACAGTCAGTGGGCCCCGGCCCATCACAGAAGACCAGGGCTGTTAGCTGAGCTTTCCACAGAATTTATGTAGTACATTCTATGGCTCATGTTCTTCGCTGGTGGCCTTGTCCTGCTCTCACTACAGTCAGCATTCCCAGGGGCTAATCATCCCAGGAGGGAACATGCCTCTCTCCTTCTGCTAATGGTAAGAACCAACGAGCCCCATTTAAAATAGGCAAGGTCTACTGACTGAAAAAAATCTATGCTAAATAAGAAAATATCCTTATTTCCCAGAAAGGTCTCCAAATATACATTCTAAAAACCAACAAGTCTCTCTCCAGTTGATTTCGTCTGGAAAAAGGCTAAAAGTAAATAGTTGGTGAAAAGAGACAAGAATCAGTGATGAGAGTAAAGGTTGGAGAGGCAGCAAAAAAGTACAAACAACAGGAGCATCTTTGAATAACTTTGCAAATATTTAGGTAGAAATAGATATGTTTCACACACAGAAACCGGTTCCCACTGCTCATTGCATCTCTAACTTGAAAAAAAAAACTCACAATGTGTAGGTGCAGCTTACCAATGAGGAGTTAACTCTTGCACCTGGTACCAGCATTAAACACGTACACTCTGCACATTAAAACACCTGGCTCAACACTGAACATGTGTGCTGGTATCTCCAGAAAAAAACTTATTTTGTGCTGTTACAAAACCATTTGCCTTTCAAAGAACAAAAACTAGATTATGTTGATTTTTACCATCTTCCTTTCCACTGTTCCCTTTTTTTTTTTTTAAATCCTCACCTGAGGATATGTTTTCATTGATTTTTCGAGTGAGAGGAATGGGGAGGGAAACATCAATTGGAGAGAAACATAATTGGCCGTCCTTTGTACGTGCCCCAACTGGAGATCGAACCAGAAACCTAGGCATGTGCCCCGACCAGAATTGAACCTGGGTCCTTTCATTCTGAGGGCCGATGCTCGATGCACTGAACCAAACCAAACCAGCGAGGACAAGCCCTAATTCTTATAACAACCTTTTGTGAGTTCCCACTAAAGACAAGAAAACTAAGTCTAGAAAGATGAAGTAAATGTCCCAATGCTACAGAGCTAGGAAGTTAGATTGGCTGGACTCAACTGTGGAAGTCTAACTGGCACACTGGATTGTCTGTGCTCTCTCATCCTGCAATCGATGTTTCTCTAAACGCCTCAGCCCAGTTCCCCTCATTCTACAACATGAATTTTTGAGAAATTTATGGAAAAATGAAGTATTTAAGACACAGAGTTTATACTTGTATTAATATTTATTTATTATTGTATTATTTTCTGTACGAACAACTGTAAACCTACTTGTGCACATCCCGTAGTAATAAAATTCTAAAAGGTTAAATACATATTCACTAGATATTTGACTGACTTGCCTTATGGAGGACAGACACCATGACATTGATCCAAACAAAGAATGCTTTATCATTAGGATGCTTTCCACCTGACGTGATAAAAGAAATGCTCTTTCCACCCCCCCTCACCGTGAGTAGACACAGGATAATGTAAAACTGAATGATAGACTGGGCAAGATCATTTTCATGTACCAGGTCAGCCTAACTGGGAGTAACTTTCAATGAATCATAGAAAGTTCCAGACAAGGGAAGGGTTTCATCCTGAACTTTAGTAGATCAGAATGGCTTATAGGTTGCAGCTCATAAAAGATATAGGGGCGGGCAATGCAAAATAGTGTTTTTAAATATTAGAGCCACCTATGAATTAAAGAATAGAGGCAGTGATTATCACAAAGCAGAAAAGCAAACATGTGCATTTCTAATGAAAGATCGAGCCACTGTCCACGATATCCTTGCCAGAAAAGTGCAGCCTATATCTGATGAAGCCTCTTCTCCACCAATTGGAACACAGATCACACTCAGCAGCCCTGCTGGGATGCAGCCAGCCTGCTTTACGCTGCAAACTCTGCAGGACCAAAAACTTTATCCCAACAAATAAACTGCAAAAGAAGAGAAAAAAAGAGAGGAGGGAAAACCTATATTTTAAAAGAAATTTGTAAGAAATCAGCCAAAGAGAAGTTTACTCCATGTTTAAATTCCAATTACAACAAACTGAGAAAAACAAAACCCTCAATTTTAGGACAGCTGAGGAAATGAGAGCAGTTTCTGGATTTTAAAGACATTAAGAAATTTATCATTTTTGTTTGTTTTGAATGGGTGTGTGAAAAAGTAATGTGGTTTATAGGTGAAATAACACGATGTCTAGATTTTATTTCAAACTAACTGCATGGGCTAGAAGAGGGAAATGAGGACACCAAGAAAATAAATATTTGGGTGATGGGTATATGACAGTTTATTAAAACACTGTCAATTTTTACTATCTCTGAAGTAAAAAATTAAATATTGAGCCAACAGGGAGGAAAATCTCAGAGACCTCTCATTTTAGAAAAGGAACCCCTGGCTCCTCTTAAAAACTAGCAACATTGAGCTGTACTCCAGCAAGGCAGTAATTATTTTTATTTTTATTTTTTTAAAATATATTTTATTGATTTTACACAGAGAGGAATTGAAAGGGATAGAGAGTTAGAAATGTCGATGAAAGAAAAACATCGACCAGCTGCCTCTTGCACCTCCCCACTGGGGATGTGCCCACAACCATGGTACGTGCCCTTGACCGGAATCGAACCTGGGACCTTTCAGTACGCAGGCCGATGCTCTATCCACTGAGCCAAACCAGTTTCGGCAAGCAAGGCAGTAATTAGATAGAGCTGAGAGCCCCTCCCCCTTCAGATGGGCAGATGCTGTCCAGCTCAGAGAACTCACATGCCTTTTACACAACCCACTTTACTCACTTAGGTTCCCAGGAGGCATCTCAGTTTGCAATCACTAGGCATTTGGGAATGATACTATTGTAGGACAGCTCCTAAATGTTCACAATAAACGGTTGGCACTAAAGATCCATCCAGATAAGTGAGCAGAGGAAAAGGAGGCAGGGAAAGAGCCTGCAAAGTACTATCAGACTGCAATTAGTAATCTGGGGAGATCTGAACTCAGTCAAGTTTGTTCTTTCTTTTTAATGAGATTCTTGGAGTCAGAAATCCATACTCATTAGGGCAGAGAAAAGTGAGTGATGGGAGCTCCTGGCAGCCAGGTTGGGAGGATGACAATCAAGATAAAAGAATCTGATGGCAGAAGTAAAAATTTGAGGTAGTGGGCCCTAGCTGATTTGGCTCAGTGGATAGAGTGTCAGCCCTCAGACTGAAGGGTCCGGGTCCTGGTGAAAGGCACATACCTAAGGTTGCAGGTTCCCTCTCCCTGGTCGGGGTGCATGTAGGAGGCAACCAATTGATGTGTCTCTCTCACATCGATGCTTCTGTCTGTCCCTCCTCCTTTCACTGTCTCTAAAAATCAATGGAAAAATATCCTCGGGTGAAGATTAATAACAACAACAAAAAAGCTGAGGTAGTTGAAGATGAACAGTCCCATGGGCCACATGGAGTTATTTTCCTTGTCTTTAAACTCTAAGCATGTTATAGTTTATTTAATTTAGGAGTCAGTGTTTGTCCACAAAGGAAACAGGATCCATTTTACATGGCAATATAAATATACAGTACCTAAAATCTGACATAATATTTAAGTATCATGATTACATCTTAATCATGTTTTTTAAAACTGTTCAATAGCCAAGACCGGTTTGGCTCAGTGGTAGAGCTTTGGTCTGCGGACTGAAAGGTCCCGGGTTCGATTCCGGTCAAGGGCATGTACCTTGGTTGGGGGCACATCCCCGGTGGGGGGTGTGCAAGAGGCAGCTGGTCGGTTTCTCTTCATCGACGTTTCTAGCTCTCTATCTCTCTCCCTTTCTCTCTGTAAAATATCAATAAAATATATTTAAAAAAAAACAAAAAAAAAACCTGTTCAATAAACAGATAGCAACTACTGACTTTTACCAATAACTTTTACATAAAAGGAAATTCTCTGGAAATTATGCTACTATTTCCAAGAATATTGCAATCATGTTTTCACATGATGGTGATGTGTTTTCTCCAAGTAGCATCATGTGATAGGAAGGTTTGTGAAGCACAATTAGTTTCCAAGGCTAAATAAGTCAGCAAACAGTTCAGTTCCTTTTGCATTTATCTAGCATACAAAAATACCTTTTCCTAACAATATAATTAGCCTGGTGTTTGGTTTTCACATTTGTTTCAGTTTAAATACTGGCTAAATATTTTTGAAACAGGTGCTCCAAGAATTTCAGAAATTTGCTTCCAGCTTCTTCCAGAACATCTGTAACATACTAGGAGCCACAGTTGCTGGTCAATAACATGTATTTCATAACTCTGCACTGAGCTGGTCAACCATATTTTTTAAAACGTTTCATCACATAATTTTTCTGGGAAATGTTATGACATGATATCATCTCTGGGCAACTTCTTTGCCAAGTTGTTTATGCCAACAACTGGAAAACTGTTTCAAATTTCATCATAAAATTGCTATCCATTTCATCACTCAAATTCCTGATTATCCTATCATTGATAAAAATATAAATTCTTGATTCCCACAATTAAATGATTATTTCAATAGCAGTATTGACTATAAAACTACCAATTAAAAGATAAATATGCTTTTCCTTGTATACGTATGAATATTTATTTGCGTAAGTAAACATATAAATGTTTATGTATAGAAACTTACATACTTCTGTATAAGTATTATAAAAAATAATATTTATTTATGTACATATAGATGTATATACTCATTGGATTTTTCTCATTCCTCCTTCTCAACACACACACACCCTCTCATGCACTCACACGAGATTTTTGTATTGGTGGTTTTATATAATACATGATACAATGCCCTATATGAAAGCACTGCATAAATACACTTGGACAATTACAAATTGATTCCTTTTTAACGTTCTACAACAGTAAACCAAAAAGATCTGTATAAGAACTGGGTAACAAATATAAAAGTCACGACTTTAAGAAAAATCTAACCCAAGATCCAATATCTAAAATTTTGAAAATCAACGTAAGAGAGGAGTGTTAATTTGCTCAATCACCAGGGGGAAAGAAAGAATAACAGTTGAATGTAAACAATGAAACACAAAACTACATAACAAAAAGTGAGAAAGAAAAAAAACTTTAAAACCTGAAATGTCTCAGGATATAATTTTCCATGTAGAATGTAGCCTAAATGGCATGGCAAGTGCCAATTTAAATAGCTATAGCCACATGACTTGTAGCATTGTCTCAAGGATATCACTGGTCTCTTAAAAATGATTTGTAGTAACAGTGAGATGGCAAGAAGTGAAGAGCTGTTCTTGCCTAGAAACGCACTAAGTAGTTCAGTGACAGGAGGCCATGACTGAGAGACTGCTGCTTCACAAGTTCACATAAGTGACTGGTAAACTCAAGACATACTAACAAGAGGGAGGAAAAGCTAAAATGAGGAAAAGCAATATGTAAAGATATTAAGGAATCAGTGTAAAGAGGATGAAATCAGAATAGCCAAACCAAAAGCAACAAGGATAGAGGCCCTAGGCCTGGCCGGCATGGCTCAGTGGTTGAGCATTGACTTATGAACCAGGAGGATATGGTTAGATTCCAGGTCAGGGCACCTGCCTGGGCTGCAGACTCAATCTCTAGTAGGGGGTGTGTAGGAGGCAGCCGCTCAATGATTTTCTCTCATCACTGATGTTTCTATCTCTCCATTCTCGACCTCCCTCTCTGAAATCAATATATATATATATATATATATAAAGAAAGGACAGAAGCCCTATGTGAGACTTCAGTAGATGATTTGAGAAAGAAACCTTTCACTCTACAGAAGACTGACTTGAATAAAGACTTCTGCATGACTTAAACAAAACATGCAAAATTAAAAACTGGAAGGGAAATGAAAGAGGTTTGGCACTGCTAAAATAAATGTGTCCATTTTCATCATTGGCTTCACAGATGTCCACCAGGGCAACACTTTCTAAATTGGTAATGTATATAGTCCATCCAATGTGGTTCAGTAGTTGAGCACTGCCACATGAACCAGAAGGTCAGTTTGATTCCCAGTCAGGACATATGCCCAGGTTGCAAGCTCGATCCCCAGTAAGGGGCATGTAGGAGCAGCAGATCAATGATTTTCTTTTCTTTTCTTTTTTTTTTTTTTTAAATATATTTTATTGATCTTATACAGAGAGGAAGGGAGAGAGATAGAGAGTTAGAAACATCGATGAGAGAGTCATCAATCAGCTGCCTCTTGCACATCCCCTACTGGGGATATGCCCGCAACCAAGGTACATGCCCTTGACCGGAATCGAACCCGGGACCTTTCAGTCTCCAAGCCGATGCTCTTATCCTCCTGGTTCATAAGCCAAACTGGTTTCGGCCAGATCAATGATTTTCATCATTGATATTTCTATCCTTCTCTCCCTTTTCCTTCCTCTCTTTGAAATTAATAAAAACATATTTAAAAAATAAATTAGTAATATATAAACAAAAATGACAATGAATATAATTGGTCATTTTGCAGCTGTACAGTAATAGAATTCTTTTTAGATTGTTATTTCCACACAGACTTTTGAAGCATTTTATGTGACTATTAAATTTAAAACTATTCTTTTTTTTTTTAATGTATTTTATTGATTTTTTTACGGAGAGGAAGGGAGAGAGATAGAGAGCTAGAAACGTCGATGAGAGAGAACATCGACCAGCTGCCTCTTGCACACCCCCTACCGGGGATGTGCTCGCAACCAAGGTACATGCCCTTGACCGGATTCGAACCTGGGACTTTTCAGTCCACAGACCGACGCTCTACCATGGAGCCAAACCGGTTTCGGCTGAAGCTACTGTCTTGATCCAAGGTTACATCTCTGGAATTAAAACTTTTGAGAATGTTAATTGAACTACACCATAGAAAAAAGATTTTGCTTCTTTTTGCCAGTGCCATGTATGGTATATCTTTTTACCTCAAAAGAATAGTGAATAATATGTAATCAAATGATACAGAGATTCAAAGAACCTGCATCATGAAGTCCCTTTTCTTTTTAGTGTTGGAAACCTGCAATGACCTTGGAAAAACACAACAAAAACCACATTTATACACCTTATAAGTGTACCATCTTTCTAAGGCTGGTATCATTATTATCTTCATTTTATGAATGAGAACAAGGCCACAGATGTGTAAATGGGTTGCTAAGAATACACCTTTACTAAGTGACCAAGCCATTAACTCCAAATTCCAAGCTCTTTCCTGCTGCCTTGCCAAAGCAATTCCAGGCAGAGGAAGCTAAATCTAAGTATGATTGTAAGTGTTAAGACTCTTCTCTTGCTTGAAAAATGAAAGACTGTTTAAGGAAGGAGAATGAATGAGCTAGATGGACTATAGACTAGATAAGGCAAGAACAAATCTGGGCTGTAGACATTTTTCTTAGAAGGTAATTTTTTTTAAATATGAAAAGAGACCATAAATTTTTTCTCTGGCAGGCAGAGAGCTAGATCAAATAATAGTGGGTGGTGCCTCAGAATGCATGTGTGGTAGCAGGTGTGTGTCATATATGTCGGGGGTCCAGATGTGACAGGAGAGAATCCGGGTCCAAGGCCTCTAGATGGTAACCACTTCATGCTTCTATTCTGTTTGGTAAACCCATTAAGTATTCCTTTTATCTGCCCAGAAGTTTAAGGTATTCAAAATATATGGCAGTAAAAACAAAAAACAAAAAATAATTGATGAGCGATTATTCAAGATGTAAGCCTTAGTAAAAGTGGTTAAAAAGTAATGAAGGGGAACAACAGACAGGATGGTAAATACAGAACCAACTCTTTATGACAATTAAATTTGTTTAAAATGATACTATCAGCTCATGAATGAGCAGGAAATTAATAAAGTAAACCTTTAGTAAAGCAATAACAATAAACCGTTAAAAGATGGAGAAAAAAGGAAACATATGTTAACAATGACTAATGAAGAACATTTACATGGCTCCCTATACGGTGTTTCATTTTCTGGTTCATTGTTAAATCGACCATTTGACAGGATGATTAAACTATTTCTATTATCATCCCAGCTTCACAAATTACACAGATCTTTCTGTTTGTACAGACTATGTGAAAAGTTCAATGTGTTTGGGCTCAAGTTAATTGATTCAAAACCCAAAAAGTTTTGATTTAAACAGGAAGAGATGGTTGCAAAAGAGTTCATCTAAACACTACAACAGCTAAGCAGATGTACACTTTATGACTGAATATAAAACACCTTGCTCTTTATGTGTTAATATAAACTTAGTTTTAAACACTTGTGCAGCTAATACATTATTATCGATATAACCAGAGCTCAACCCTACTATTATTATACCTGAGAAAATTGTGACAGGGTTTCTGTGGTTGACCAAAGTTAAAACAGTCAATTCATGGCAGAACCACACCAGAACTCAAGAGTCCTGATAATTAATATGTACTTCCTGTTAGGCTATCCTGTCTCCACCCACCACAAAGAAACATGTGGTATGAATTAACCTTTGGAAAGTGTAATAAAGGATGTGTGTTTAATACTTGCAATTTTATTATACAACCATTATATACACATATATAACTAAGAAGAAAAAAGAGAAAATGTTGTTGTGTGTCCTATTAAATAAAATTACAATTTCTGGAGATAATTTTTTAAATACGAAAAGAGATCACGAATTTTCTCTCTCTGGCAGGTAGAGAGCTAGACAAAATAGTAATTAATTAACTTAAGCAAAATAAAGTTTTGAATTGAAATTTTTAAAAATTTAATGTTATGAATCACATTCCGAAAGCTGCTTATTTGCAAATGGATGTATGGATGCATCTTTAAATAATCTAATGAGCTCTGTAAAAATACAGATTATATTTCTACTTCACAGGCCTAAGATTAGCTAGGCCTTCTTCCAGAGATTCTAGAAAAATCACAGTAAGAGTTCAAGATTACATATTCAGGTTCAATGTTTTGCTGATTTGGGTTAATTTTTATTTGTCTTATTTCAAAAACAAAGGTCTAAAGGTGTTCTTGAAATCTGGTAAGGTATTTGGTCATATGGGTTAAACATATGGTTATATTTATGGCCTACAATGGCAAAATATCCGTTTGTTAGAAAGAAAATATTATATATTAAACCAACAGTCCAATGAATTTTAGAAGACTATATCAAATAAAAATTACCTTTAAAAATAATTTTGAAAACTGTGTTGAATCTATCACCTACCTTTTTGTTGCCAAAAGCACTTCTGTGTACTCCTGACCATGATGCTCGAGGGCAGAACAGAAGAGCACTCAAGAATGAATGGATGACACTGAGCCAAGGTGTTGCAACTTAGAGTTAGGTGAGGTCCATTAACACACTTTTAAAGGGGCACATGATTGATTTTAGCAATCTGAATTCTCCAATACTGTTCAATTCTCAGATCCTAACTTACCTCACATGATAATCAGTTGCTGGTCTAAGATCTTTCAGGTTACATTCTAATTCTTCTCCACTGTAAAGAAAAATTATTCATTAATCAAGGATATTAGTTTCAAAAATAAAACAGGTTTTGGATTTGAGTCTTACCGTCATGTACAAACAATGATTCAAGAACTATTATGTCTGACTCTACCTTAAACCAGGAATAAACTTTCCCACTTGATAGTATTATCTTTCTGAACTAGAAAATTAGATTCCTTTTAATTATGCCATCCAAAATATGTAAAATGGCTAGTTAAACTTACTATTAAAGGTCCACTTATCACTTCTTCAAAGTAAATACATAATTAGTAAATAAATAAGCAAGCAAATTAAGATGACAAGATGAATATAAATAACGGTATCAGCTGTCCACTGAAGGCAGCTCCCAGACTCACCTTGGCAGGAACCCCAACTACCTCAGCTTCTCAACTATCTTGATATCTCAATCTGTTTCCCTTACATATAAATACCAATAAGTAGCTCTTATATAAAACAAAACCATTTATATAGTGTCCCCAAAAATGTATGCACACTTTGAATGATTATAAAGTCAGTATTTAATAACATACAGTTCACTTTCAAATTTTAAATGAGTAATATTTTTGTTAATGCCTCTTTTCAAAATGATGACCATTCTGGTCCAGGCACTGCTGATAACTCAAGAGAAAGCAATAGAAATCACAAGCATCAATAATCATTTTGTTTGGTATTTGTGAGCCCTCAATTCATCAACTGTTGCCAGTTTGTACCATAAACTTTATCTCTTATGTATCCCCATAAAAAAGTCTAGTGGATAATTTTTCTTTGTTCAAAGCTTAGTCTTGCTTTACTCATTATTTCAAATAAATTAAACCTGAAACAGAATGAAAATTAAGTGAGTTATCAGCTATTAATGTGTGTGCTCTCAAAAATATATACACACTTTGAATAATTATAAAGGCAGTATTTGTAATTCAACTGCATTTTCAAACTTCCAGTAGTATTTTTAGAATGAATTTTCTTTGTTAAAAGTTTAGTCTGTCTAAAAAGAAAGAAAAATCAATTAAGCTATTAGCAGTAAGTATGTATATGCATTTTGGGGACACCCTGTATTATCAGAAATTACAACGGACACTCAACTTAATCATGAGGCAACAGCATAAAATAAAGGAGAGTTCATTAACATTAACACTTTTTAAAGGTGAGGGGGATGTGCAAGGGCATGACTGTATTCTTGAAGGAAGTCTGCCATAAAACCAAGAAATACTGTAGATGTGTTCCAAAATAAAGAAGGCTATCGACACATGACAACTAAACGCAGTATCAGACCCTAGACAGGATCCTATCCTCCAGGGGAAGGAAATGCAGCTACAGACCTCACTTAGATCAACTGACAAAACTAGAAATGGATGACCAATGGATTAAATTATTGTATCAGGGTAAATTTATGAAGTTGATAACTGCACTGTGGCTACTTAATAGCAGATGGACTGGGTAAAAGGATGCACACATATTTCTTGATCTCTTTATTTTTGCTAAGTCTTATAAGTTTAAAATTACTTCAAATAAAAATCACTTTTTAATGCTATAAACTAGAGGCCAATCTCCACACTTTGCCTGAAGCACTATTGTTTGAACTGCACAGTATTTTTAAAGATTTTTTAATTTGCTGAATTAGTTTAAGATTAGGAAAGTTTACATAACAATTCAGATTTTCAGCATTTCTTGAAAAAAATAAAACAGCAAACAAACAACAAAACACCCAAAGAATCAGCAAATCTAGGCCTACAGTCCCTTCTAGCAACAACTTATTTTAGATGGAGACAGGGACTCTCCTGTTCATCTCATTCCCAACCTCTGCTTTCCTCACTTATGTTACCTGCCTAGCCCTTCTCAGCACTTGAGACTCTAGCTCCTGCCAGCAATGGTTATCTGACACTGATGACTCAATCTATTCAGTTCTTGGTGCGGCTGGGGAAATGGTGCTCTGCATTTCTTTAAGGTTTCTACCGAGTCTGAGTTTTCAAAACAGAACCAAATGGTTGTGAGCCAGAGGAAGGAGGTACGATTTAATTTTCAATACTGCGAGGGAATCATTCAGACAGGGCAACGCTACTGTCTGACAGATGCTGCAGTATGGAGGCCGGACTGTAGGGAGCAAGAGTGGATGTTGGAGACCCTGAGGACATTCCTGTAGGCATCTCAAGAAGAGACAACAGAAGGACTCTGGGCAGCCAGAGGAGTGAGTGGCTATAGGCCTTCCCTCCCTATTTCCTCCCCTTTCCTTGGTTCAGAAGAAGACATGCCTCTGGAGCAAGTTAACAATGAGGAACAGGCCAGACAGACACGAAGTCTGCACACTGACACAGCAACAGAACGAGAGAGACTCCAGCAAGTGGAGATTGTGTGGCCAGTTGTTCCAGAGGTGCTCGCACAAGTAGTCAGAGCAAAATGGACTCTGATTTCCTGCTCTGCAAATGAACCAGTCCCCGTAATTATAAAGAAGAAAAAACTTGACACTAAAAAATTTTTTTATCGCACTTAGAACATGGCTATTAACCATCTGAATGGCTAATACCTGGGAGTCCATAAAGCAGAAGGAGATAATTCCTTATTCTGTGTGCTAAATGTTTAAGAATTTAAGAAAGTCTTGGCATGAAATGCTTTAAAGCAATTTTTTCTACAGGCTGGAAAACTATTGAGAATAAGAATTATGGTGAAATTGTTATTTCATATAACCATGAAACTATATTGTAGAATTAAAAAAAAAAAAAGACTACTGAAAGGTCTGAGTGCATAAAGTATATAAAAACTAAATGTCATGCTCATGCTTTTCTAATAGACATTAATGGGAAGTTTTCATTAATTCTATTTTGACAAGCTAACAAAATGAAACGATATATTTCACCAACACCAAATAGCGCTAGAATGGTAATTTCTGATTAATTACTGTGGACAAAATGAACTCTTGACATTAATTATCTCTAGTTCTTAAAATGAACACTTTAAAGGAAAGTTTGCAAAGCTTTTAAAGTTTCCTTTGTTTTTAATTTTCCTTAGTGAAGCCAGCTTCACTATTTAGCAGCAGAGAAACATGAGAAAATGCACACTACCTGTAAATTATCTTGTATTTTCCATCTCGTCCTTTTTCTGATAAGGCAACCTCATAACTGTAGGGGAAGGAGAGGGCACCGTGGGGTCCACATGAAAGTCCAACAGGGGGGGCCCAGGACAACACAACCGCTCTTGCCTGAATATTAGAAACCTGAGAAGAAAAACATGAACAAAAGTATTCAAATCCATTTCACATAAACCAAACACTTCTTCCAGTAACATTTTTGTGATTACTAGTAGTGGCATCAAATTTGCTCAGATTTAATGGAAGGTAAATAATTTTGTTTTATTGACAGAAAACAGAAGCTTCCTATGTCCTTGTCCTTCCTATGACCTTCCTAGGTCCTTGTCAAGACCTAATGACCAAAATATAGCTCCTACAACATCCTTCCTCATAACACAAACTTTCATCCAAGTCCTATGTAATTCATACCCAGTTCTCCAGAAAATAAAAAGCTTGGTAATTTTTTAAAGATAAAAAGCTAAGTGTAGGATTTCCATGATCAGGAAGCCCATCTCATTATGTGGAAGGAGTCACAAAGCCTTGCTTGGTTTAGAGTTATCCTGCAAAGCTAAGACAGTAAGTCCTCACTTAACATTGTCAATTGGTTCTGCAGCTTTAATTGAAACAATGTACAATAAAACCAAACTTACCAAAGGCTAATTGATATAAACAAGAATTAAGTTTCTATGTCATCTCAGCAACATGACATAGAACATGACATAGGGACGATGAGAGGCTATTTGAGGACCCCCTAGGCCTTACAAATCATGTTCCTTTTAAGTGCTGCAAGCTCCCCGGAACCCAGTGATAGGAAAGTGGAACCAAGGTCCAGGATGATGGGGTAGAAACCTGTGTGGAGGTGAACAGTTCACCTCTCCAAGTTCTGCTTTAATCCTTCTGGTTTAACCTCTGCTTAAAACTTCATTTAAACACAACGGTCTGAGACTCTAAAAACCTCAATCTACTCCCATCACTTAGACTACGGTATCTGCCAGCATCTTCAGCAGAACTGAGCCCAGCTGCCCACCGCTGTAGCCCGATCACTTACAGACCCTGAGCTGGCTTCCTTCCCTTCCTCCCTCTGATGGTACTTCCTGTTGCACCTCCCTACACACACTACTTGCTCTTGAATCTTTGTTTCAGAGTATGTTTCTGGAGAAACCCAACCTAATGCATGGTCTAATTCTATAAAATAACTCTATGAACAGAACTCTAATGTTCTAACTTTATAAAGGATATTTTGTTGCTCTATGGATAACATATTATAAACTACCTATGAGTTCATACAGATGCTAAAACTTCATGTTCATATTTTATAGCTGTAGAGTATTAGGCTGTAGATGGATGAGAACTATACAATCTCCCTCTTTTTGTCTTCCATTTCTCTCACTATCTGATCTGACTAGAGTATTAAAATGAAACATAAAATTATTTTAAAGTATGAATAGTAAAAATGGAAATAAACATTGAGTCTCTATTTTCATCTGTTACTCCTTCCATTTTTAGCGGAGATTTTTTCCATATTATTCCTGATCTGTACAGATATAGCATCATAATATATTTAACCAATGGTTTAATTAATCCTCTACTCACCCTTCAAAAGCCCAGCCAGGCCTTGCTATCCCCAAGTAGCCTTTCCAAAAGTATTTAACCCATCATTGTTCCTCTTTTCTACAGAACCTTGCTGATAACTCTACTATTGCTGATCATGTTTGTCTCCTTTCCCCACTGGATTGTGGGACATCCTAAAGACAGGGCCTGGCCATATTCTACTGTGAGCAGTGGTGCTTAAAATGTTGGTTGAAAAATAAAGATCAAAGGGAATAAGATAGTCTGAGTTTCTGACAGGGGCTTGTAGACTAGCATTACACATCTTTTTAAAAAACCTGAGACACTGTTACAGAATGAAACTGGAGTCTCCAGATTAGCAATCTCTGTCCCCCACCCCCCGTACCCCTTCTGTCCCATGCAGTGGTGACACCCCTTCAAATGCCGTTCCCTTGCAAAACCCTGTGACTTACTAGTAGCTTTTGACTTCCTTGCTTTCTTGGCTTTAGCAAACTTCTTTTAGATCTAGCACAGATGCTGCCTTTGCTTAATCTTTAAACCCTACCTCACTTGCTATCCTACCTGTGCGGGGCTGTGGGCATAGAGGGGATTAAGATTATGCCCTCTACCTCAAGGAGCACCGATTTGGTGGAGAGAAACAAGTGAGGGAACACGGAGCAGAGACACAGAGTGCATAGGGACCCACATGCTTGAGACAGATTCAGGAAAGGTTTCTGCATTGTCCTGCCTGGCCCTCTGCTCAGAACTAACCACTGTTTCCTTTGAGCTCTGGCTACATTTTGCTGGGACCTGTATTGGACACTTTTTGCACTGTATTTGTGCTTTGCTTGATTATTTGTGTGTTGTTCTCCTGACTACATTTAAGGCAGCATTTCTACCACTTGCACCAGAGTATTTTCTGAATTCCTTCACACACCATCAATGAATAATCTTGAGGCACTAAGTGTTATATTTGATTTTTAACTTAAAAAGAGATATTTTGCTATGAAAAGTTCAATTTATGATTTAAAGGTGGCTGCTTAGGTACTGGGAAACTTTCAATAGTAACACTGATTCATTCCATGAATGATGGTGTGAAGTAAGTTCACGTCACAGCTGTTAAAAGCAAGCACTTCAGATGTTGAACAAGTACGCATCAATTCACAGCCCTTTGGCCTATCTTTTCCATCAGCTCTTAAGAAGGTATTTTTTCTTTCTCCTTTCTGACTCGGTTAAATTAACTTTCTCCTTTCTTCCAGTGATGTACAACACTGGAAGCATCAACTAATACTATTCACCTTTTCCCTGGATTCTGAGTGAGCCTTAAAGAGGAAACTCTCACCTGAACACAGACCCCTGTGCAAATGCAGTCTTCCCAAAGGACAGCCAATCAGAAATGCCCTTTGAGAACTCAGCATTGTTTTCAAAGGACAGTGGCTTCTGGAGTTTTTTCCTCGAGCTAAGCAGCCAGCCTGCCACCTTGATTACTTCCACGTTTATGGGGCCAAACCCCTCCTGTGCGCCCTTGCTGCCTCCCTTTCACCCACTCCTGGGCCTCAGGTTTCCTTTCTTCAGGCCGTGGAAGCCGAGAGAAAGAGGGCTTTGTCTCTACTAGAGCGAGGAACTGGCTTCTAATTCAAGGCTGATGCCAGGAAATTACATGGTGCCTTTCAGGAGAATATCACGTAAAAGGGAATCCTCCGCATTAGATCTGCATTTTCTCCAAGTGTGCAGGGAGGTGGTAACCTTAATGAGATTCAGGACTCCAGGAATTCCAGCTGGGCCACGCCTCTGTTTGAGCAGCAGTGCGCTCACCAACTTCTCTCCTGGTGGGGAAACTTTCTCAGAGCAGTGACCACTGGGCTGAACTGGGGCACGACTAATCTGATCACCACAATGACTGTCATGGCTGTTATCCAAAAAGAGAAGTTCAGAAGCCACAAAACTGAATGACCTTCCCATGTTTAATTATTCCACCACAAACAGAAGTCACTCTCTGTAATGGTGAGTAAAGTGGTGATTTCTAATTATAAAATTACTGGAAAAGACCCAATGTGACATTTGTCTTGGCCCTAGTGACAGAAAAGGGTCCGTGGTGTGAGTCGCTAGTGTAAATTTGCATAAAAGTTATTTAAATTAAACTGCTTTAAGGTATCTTGAAGGACTCATAAAACCACCATCTACTTCTATAATAAATGCAAGTCATTCTTAGAAATCATTCTTATCTGGGTATTTATTATTGAGAAAGTTGTTCGTTAAAAGCATCTGTATACACACATTCCGAAATGACAGGACTGCATCCTTAACTCTCTCCTTGTCCCCTTCTCTTATGATTATTCCCAGGCCATCTGATATGTAAATAATATTATTTGGATCAAAAACGCCATTTACTCTAATAAAGTTAATAAACTGTCACTGTCAGATTTAAAAACATTTCTATGTGAGTTAGTAACTTCTAAATTTGGTCTGGCCTTTGGATTTTACTATGTGGGTGGTCTGCTGATCCAATCAGGAAGTATGTTAAGGAAATATTACCATAAAAATATTGGCTTCACTTCTAAAGTACCATCATGACAAATAATAACACAAAGGAAAATTAAAAGGAAAGGGTCAAAGAGATCATTATTCAAAGGGAAAAAGGATACTCAAATCTAAAGGCTTCACAGTCATATGTTTCTATAATTCCTTACGTGCTAAGAACCTCAACTCTGTTTCTCTCTCAAGGAAGTGCTTACAGGGACAGTTGTACCTCTAGGTCAGTTTCCTCATTCTGCAGCCAACAAGGCAATTGTTTCTATAAGCTAAATATTAGCAGATGGAAACAATGTAGAAACAACAATTTCAGGTTACAATGACTTACATCCCGGAAACAAAGAGCCCAGCAGAATGTGGAAGACTTCATCTAGCACCACCATTGGAATGGATTAAACCATGCTAGGATGGAGGTGGCTAATACTAATAGAGGTTAATTCCCATACCACTTTGGATAATGTCAAGCTTATTTCTCTGGAATAGCGGTGGCTGTGAGTACAGTCCCCAAGGCTTGTTAGAGTCTCAGGACAAATACCTGGTGTATTTGTACCCTGTTTTACTCAATTACTAAATATTTGGGTCTTTACAATATCTGGGTTTCTAAAAAGTAAATGACTTGCTTAATTCAGGATGCCCAAAATTCTAGAAAGATGACTGAAATCCACAAGTTCTCAAGAGTATTTCTAACATTAAACAAATTATCTGCAAAATCTCAAAGAAAAATATATACCTTCTATTTAGAGGTGTTGCCAAATGTGGCTGAAAAAAGTTAAGAACAAAAATCCTTCATGCAACTGTGTGCTGAACTTTCCGCAGCTCTGCTCCTTCCCCTGCACGGTGGTCAGACACCCTCCTTCACATTCCAGAGTGTAGCAGGGAGCTTCACTTTTGCCTAATGATATGCTCTAAAGTGCAGAGAAATGCCCCATACTCCATTCCAAGTACTCTCTCTGTAGATAGTACACCATTCACTTCTCAATCCTATGTGGTATTTATTATCCTACCTTTAAAAGACGAGTACACCTAGGCTCAAGGAGGCTAAATTAACCAAGGTCTCAAGAGATAGTAATGGCCATGCTGGATCCCAAACCACAGAACCAGATTGCAAGGTACTGGCCTGTCCCCTCCAGGCTGAGGCCTCTTGCTTTGGCAATGGGCTGCCCCCACATTCCAGCATGCTGGCTGAGCCTCCTCTGATGCTGGCCAGTCTTCAGGCATTTTTCTCACCTGCCAGAACCCAGCTGCAGCCACTGCCATCTGCCATACATTTACTTAGCAAATATTTGTTAAGGGTTTACAATGTGCCAAGAACAGTGCTAGGTGTGAGGGACACAAAGATAAATAAGATACAATCATGAATAAAAGCTTCAGACAGAAAGGTAAAGAGAGGGAAGAAGAGAAGGGAGAAAAGTTGTGGAAAGAACTAACTGGGCTGCGAAGGAGAAATAGACTGGCTCCAGGCCCAAAGGCTTTATGTGCGTACCAGGGAATGGTATGGTAGGCAGAATGATCCCGTCCCCCAACCAAAGATGCACACATCGTAACCCCTGGAACTGTGAATATACTACCCTGCAAGGTAAATGGGAGTTTGCATTAAATTCACTATCCGTGCAGCAGAGACCAGCCTGGATTATCTTGGTGAGCCCAATTTTATAAGTAAAATAGCGATACAGGAGAGTCAGAGTCACAGAAAGAAATATGAGGATGAAAGGGGCCAAGAGCCAAAGAATGCAGGCAGTTTCTAGGAGAAGCTGAAAAGGCAAGAAGTCAGATTGACCCAGAGCCTCCGGTAAGAAATGATTTTAGCCTAGTAAGACCCTTTGACCTCTTAGTTGACAATCCCGCCATATTTGCCTAACATCAAGACTATATACAAAGAAGCCTGTCTGCCTATTTTGGTCTAAAAACTACAGAGAGTAAGTGCTTAATAAATGTTGAGTCAAGGAAAATAACAATGCATTTCAATATTACTTTTACCCTACTAGACACATGGTCCTCAGAAACATCGACTTTGTCCCTTCTGCAGTAAAAAAAAAGAACTAAGAAAAACACTGTGTGTGTGTGTGTGTGTGTGTGTGTGTGTGTGTGTGTGTGTACACATGACAGAGACAGGGCTATAAGGTTTGTGACTATATCTGGGACAGTCAACTAACCTATTGCTGCTCTGCCTTCTCTCTGACTATGAATTCTGTTTTCCTCATGGAATTTTCTTCTTTCTGCCATACTATAAATGTAAGCTTTTCCTACGATTCTGCCACCCTCAAGCCTTTTCTGTACTCATGCCTCTATCCACCCCCAAAGCTTCAACTGCCCACCGTGTTTATCCTCCTGGATGCCCTGCTAGTAAAGCGAACTCCCCGTGTCTGAGAATGGCAATGGAGACACAAAGAGGACACAGATTGCTGGGAAAGACACAGACACAGTAAATGGAGTATGGTGTATTAAATGCACACCAAGTACAATGAGGCTGGGCAGAACTGGTGGTACTGAGAGTCCTGTGTAGAGTGTCCCTCTGCTGGACAAGTCAGCAATCAAGGCATCTAAGCCAGAAAGCTCAGTTATCATAAAACCAGATTTCTAATAAGTTATACCACCTTCTTGATTTCTCTTTAGAATGGCTCTAGTATCCACCTCTCCTTGCCAGGGCTGATGCCTCATCCTCACACAACTTCTCACCACCACTAGGTGACAGATTCCTGACATGGCTCTCTGGATCCATCCTCCTCTCCTCCAAAACTAACTGTTTGATCATCCAGAGTACAGTCCTGATTGCATACTTCTTTGCTCAAAACTCTAAATGGCTATCTGCTCCTTGCCAGATTCAGTACAGACTCCCCAGCCCAACATCAACACCCCTTTCCTCTACAAGTACCCCATTGTGAACCTCATCCAACACACCTCATGCTTTTAGGTTTAGTTAAACTCATCTGCATAGCTCGAGGCATGTTTGGACTCCTCTGTTAAAAAGCCTTAGTATTTGAAACTCATGAAGAATCGAGGTTTTCCCATTCAGCTAGAAAACACACCCAAGAACTTGGCTCTCTAATCTCAGATGAAAGGCTGAATCAACATTTTGAGTTTTTCACTTCCATTTCAAAGCAGCTGGCAAATCAAGCTTAAAACTTCATAATATCACCACTTCCACCAATTTTTTTTCTTGGCATTACACTCAATATTTTGGACTTATTTTTCTCAGCTAATATTTAAGTATCTTTTTGAAATTTACCTGGAAAAATACTTAGAATTACTGAGGTTTTCAAAAATTATTACTTCATTTACACAGGTAAAAGGAAACTACTAAAAGAAAACAGTTCTGTAGACCTTAGGGTTGGGGCGGGGGAAGTAGGGCAGAGATGTATCCTTAGAAGTTCTGAAGAATACCTAGTTGCATTCAGACCACCTAAATACAGAGGACATTTCAGTGGATTACGACTACACAGAAGACCTCTGTTCTATATTTTCATGCTCCATTAATAGCAACACTATTTCATAGTTTATGAATAATCTGCAATGGAAAGGGACCCTTTTGCTTACCTACTATGTGGTAAAAGAAAAGCACACTTGAAATACTTCAGAAAGTGTCATTTATGCTGAGCAGTCCAGAAGACATACCTGTGGTTTCTCTATTCCTGAAAGAATGTCTTGCACCCTCTTTACTTCCAACTCATACTCTGCATGGAAAAAGAGGGGGAAAGAAAAAACAGTTAATACCATTAAAAGTCAATAAGGTGGTCAAGTTCCTTCCCCAAGGCCTTTATCAAGGGTTATCATTCAGTCACTTGCCTGCTACCATGAACTTTTGGTTCCATAAACATGATAATGAAAATCAAAAACAGGGATTCTTTAGGGTAGGGAGTTCACTGTGGTTGTGCTAATTAGCTACTATATTGCCTTACACATTCACAAAGATGACTAGGTTGATACTGAGTTCCACCTAAGAATTCAAGAGGCAACAGGGAATAGAAAGGCCCAAGAAGGAGGAGGAGGATACCAGCATAGCTAGAAGCTGAGGGCAAGGAAGAGGTGAGTTTGAAGATATGGGTGCCAGTTCATGTAGGGCTGTGAGTCAGGCTTTTGAGTTCAATTTTTATTCTAAGTGTGATAGAGTGGTTAGGTAGAGGGACTGCCATGATCTTATTTTAAGTGTAAAAAGCTCTGTTGGCTTTTTGCATGGGTAATGGACATGTGAGGGGAAGGTATAAGCAGAAAGACCAAGCAGAACATTGTCACACTGCTTCAGGTGAAGGATAGGGCTGGGCTGGGATAGGGATGATAGTAAAAATAATGAGAACAGGACTGATTTTAGAGGTTTAGGTGCCAAAGGGTTGGATATGATAGGCAAGTGTGAGAGAATAAGAAGAATCAGGGATAAAGAATAATCCCTAGTTTTTGGATTAATCAACTGGAGGAAAGATGATATCTACATTAATAAAAGAGAAACATGCAGATCTACCATCCCTCCATCATGCCCACCAGCCAATCAAGAGTAGTATGCAAATAAACCCGAAAAAGGATGGTAGTCAATTTGCATATGCAGGCTCGGAGCAAAGATTGAAGACAGCGTAGAAGGAAGCCAAGCTTTGCAAAAGGGAGCAAAGCAGTGGAGAAAGGAGCGAGGCAAGGAGAGGGAGAGAGAAAGGCAGTGGAGACAGGAGGGAGAGAGAAAGGCAGTGGAGAAGGGAGCAAGGCAGCGAAGAAGGGCCGTAGGAAGCCCTATTTGTGCAGGAATCTTCCTGCAATGGGCCTCTAGTCTTTTAATAAGATGAGGAAATGGGCAAGTTTGGGGGAGGGGCAAGAATTGTTTTAGAAATGAAATAGGGAAAGTGCTAGGAGTAAGAAATAGGAAGACTGTATTTAAAAAAAGGTATGATAGAATTTAAACTTAAGAATCTGTTTTGCTAGAGGAACCTTGCGATTTCCAAAATCTGCTTGATGGAATTTAATTTTGAGTTTATAGATTTAACTTTAAACCTAATTTATAAGCTAAATACTAGAGATATATAATTACCAAGACATATGGCCTTAACTTCAAGATATTTCAAGTCTAGTGGGGTCGGAGGGTTGGGTGGGAGAATAAAAGCAAATAGGCAATTATAATGCGAAGGTGCTATGGCAATGACAATCCAAAAGAGATTCTATAAGCTGCTTAGGAACCAATATCTAGCTGAGCTCTGTGGGCAAGGAGGCATTTGGAGGTGATGGGGGAAGCTGAACTATGAAGTGAGAAGTCAGTAAGCCTAGCTCTTCACAGGACTATTCATCCTCATTGTTCAAGTCTAACCTCAAGGCCACCTTTTCAAAGAATCCTACCTCAACTCCCACTGCTTGTTCCAGCCTCACTGCAGTAATTCTCACATCCTGTTTATGCCTTCCTATCAGTTATCAGAACCTGAAAATTAATTTTCTTGTTTATTTGCTCCCTTGTTTATTACTTGACTTTCCAGCCAAAATACAAGCTTCTGGAAGGCAGATACTATACTAGTAAGACCAGAGTAGACAAAAAAATTTTTTTTCTAAAAATAACCAAATAGTAAATATTTTAACTAAATTTTTATTAAACTATAGTTGACATATCATATACTAGTTTCAGATGTATAATAGAGTGATTTGACATTGTGTTCACCTTAAGAAATGATCGTAAGTCTAGTAACCATCTCTGTCATTGTACAAAGTTTGACTATCTTCCCTGTACTGTGCATTACATCCCATGGCTTACTTATTTTATAACTCAAAATTTATACCTCATAATCCCCTTTACCTTTTTTGCCCAGATAATAAATATTTTAAACTTTGTGAGCCACATATAGGCCTGCCAAATTCTTCTTTGTTTCTATGGACATTTAAAATGTAATAGCCATCTTGTGAAAAGCTCACAAGATCATGCTACAGGACAGGCTGCAGTTTTCTGACACCTACTGTAGAACATGCTCACCATTTAGCCCACAGCACCAAGCACAATTCCTGCAGGATCAGAGCTCAATAGATACTTGTTGGCTAAATCAGTAAACCAAGCCTACATAAAGGAAATAAGAACATCTAGTTGATACTACCCTAAATTGCAAAAAGATCAGTACTTCATTTTTTCCCCCTCATGACATTCTGTTTAGAACACGATTACTATTGTTTTGGTGAGAAAAATAAATGAGTTAGTAGCACTATGATATTTTTTAAAATTACAAAAGAAAACTCACATTCAAAAGACCAAATGTCACAAACTCATTTGTAATCCTGTATTATGTTAAGGTATAGATAATAATGGATCATACCCAAAAGTCAAAGAAGTTTATACAATCACATTTTCTGGAAACTCCTACCAAGGAAACCATAAATCTTATGTATCTTAGAAGTTAATTGTTGGGATGGGGGGAAGCAGAGTTATAATAAAGAACTGCTTCAGTTGTGAAAAACAAAACTTTCTCAATCACCAGTTATTCTAGAACTTGAAAGTCCCAGGGCTTCAAACCCACACATAGCTAGATATACCCAAACAGCTAGCTGAAGGAGGTCACTGACTGACAGTGAAAGTGTCCTAGAAGAACAAGAAGCCAGACACTAGCCTTGAGTAACAAAGATTAAGCCTAGGACAGAGATGATCAGCTATTCAAGAAAGAAGGGAAGAATTATAGAGCTCTGCAAAAGAAGAATTCTGAGGCCCATGTACTAGATATAGGGCATGAAGGAAGAAAGGAAAAGAGAGAGATAAAAATCAGAGATCCTTCCCCAGAGCCAGCTTTCAAACAAAGATGTCAGAAGAAATAGTTATGCTTTGGACAGAAAAAGAAAACATGGAACAGAGGTTGGATTAGAAGAGAAAAAAAAATCTGTACAATACCAAAAAGAATGGGTTTCAGACAAGAGCCAGGAATACAAGCAAAAAATCCTGACTGAGATAAAATCAATCCCCAGAATGAGGTCATGACCTTTCTTGTCTGTCTTACTATAATAATGAAAGCTGACACTGCTGAGCACCTAGGTATGTGCTTGTCCATGCATCATCATCCTGCTCATTTTTACATCTTTTTTGCAAGACAGATATTCTCTGCCCCATTTGACAGCAGCAGGCAGGACTGAAGTCTACTCTGCACATCTCCAGCTCTGAACACAATAGCTGAAGGTGTCTTTGTTGACTGGGGAATGAGGATGAGCAACTAATGAGGAAACTGAGGCTCAAGAAGCAGATGTGTTTTCCCCAGAACCACAAGCATAGTATAAGGTCCCAAGCAAATGAAACCTTTGACTGAATCATGGCAAAGTAGGAGAGTCCTGGGAGTCACGAGGCAGAGGACATGGGTTAAGACCAGTAGAGTGTTTGATGGAGGTGAACTGGAGAAACAGAGGTAGCAGCAAAGACCCTCTAAGTTCCATGAGACAGTTGTGCTGTTGGCTGTTTTTAAAGTCTGAAAAAGTTGTTAAATTAATAAAGCAAAGGCCCTTGGATCTGGGGAGAAGTTATGTGAAAAAAGGAAGAATAAGAAAATTGGGCCATGAATGTAGAAAAAAGAAAGGATTCTGAGAAGATAAAAAGTAAAAAGAGCAGGTGGGGGAGAAAAGGTAGTGACAGGAGAATCACTACCCTATTATCTCAGCAGAGATGCCACATCAAAGCCAGACTGGATTGGTTCCTTAAGGTTCTAAATGGTGAATGTGGAGAGAGAAGAGAAAAATGCATTTCCACCACACATATTTAATACTTTTCCATTTGTCCTGCCACAGACTTAAGAGAAAAAAGTAAATAAATGCCAGGCACACAATTTGCACAGACAAGAGTGAAAATAAAACCTGTTTAACTGAGCTAAAGCAACAGTTACCACAAATAAAATAAACTCTTGTATGAAAGCTAACACTCTGGTGTGAAAATGCCAAAATTCACAACTCTGCTAGGTTAACTCAGACCTCAGCCTAGCTCTCCCTATGCAATATTTAGCTGTGCCAGGAGTCATCTCTGAGTTATTATCACCCTTTTCATAAAACAATTTCAGAGTTCAACTGCACAGAGCATATTTCAGAATATGTTTCTGCTCGCTCACATGCTTTCTTTTTCTGTTTCTGTGTCTCTGAAACTATCTCTCTCTCTCTCTCTCTCTCTCTCTCTCTCTCTCTCTCTCTCTCTCTCTCTCTCCATACTGTGAGAGAGGAGAAAAATAATAGTTAATCCCCTTAGAAAAACCAAAACAATATTTCTGATCATTTGTCTTGTGGATATCTTTTTATTAAGAACTGTTTGTTGTTGTTTTTTTTCCTTCCCCTTAAAAAACTTCTATGTGGCAAATTAATAAAATATTGTCCTAGAAAAGGCAGAAATGCATGGTTCAGGTGCAAGGTTCTCTTTCTTCATTATCAGGCTTGTCGTCTTCTCTTTGGTTTGCTACAAATATATTAATCCCAGAGGGAAATCTTACAGGCCAACTTTGTATTTCTTTCTCCTGGCATTCAAGCTGCCATGAAATTCAAACAGATTAAAAACCATTTCCATCTATTTCAGTTAGGTCTGTGACCCCAGCAGATGTGGAAGGACATGACAACCGCCTTTTACATCGCTCTCGGTGCTATTTGAAAGCCTGTTCCTCACAGTGAAGATGGTGCTGGTCAGTGAAAACGGGATACAGGGAATTCTCTGAGCTCTGAGCAGCGAAGGCATTTTGTTTGGCAGATATAAACACATATGGGGGTA